ATTCCGAAAAGTAACCGCAATACAAAAAAACAGAAACGATTCAATAAAATTTATAATTTTAGTAGTGAGTCTATTCATTTACAGTGGTTGGCAAAATCGTATGCAGTGATATGCTTTTAAATGTTCAGCACCGTATGGAACAATATATATGACAAACATTTGGAGGATTATGTTAATGAATGGCATATTGAAATGCGCACGCCATAACCTTTAAGTCGGTTACGGAAATTGCCAACACGAGTTTCACCTGCCAGGATAACGACATTTGTCGATCCGACCACTGCTTTCACCCTCGGAAAACCCATTTACATTTCTCTGCATGTGCAGCGTTCTAGAAGAGGGCAATTTACATCAAGTCACGCCCTTTCATTAAAGCTACTCATCAATTTGAAGTGCCAGGCGCTTCAGTCATTCAACAAGCTTAAGGGATTTATTCACCGCATGTATACATTCGCAAATAATTTCATACATGTATTTCATTTTTTATTACATTTCATTTCATTTATTTGGCTTGCACTCGGCAAACAATAAATGTCAGCCGCCTGGTGATAGTAACACACTTTGCAATAAGAGATACATTTGTATCTGGCAGATACGACGGCAAATACAGAACAAACGCGTCTATTAACTGGGTCGGGTATTTCAAAAAAAACCCCGAGTTTTGTGAGTCATTTTGTTTGTATATTATCGACGGACACGTTGTCATCTCTAGATTTCGATGGTGGCTTCATTATTTGTTTGTTTACTATGTTGCACTCGTCACGTACGCGAAATAAAGCAAAGGAAAATTGCATAAATGCCCGGGCGAAGTATCCATTGTTCTCTGGGCCCTATGATCGTAAACTTCCTGACCACATCTCCTATATGTAATTTATGACAGCTTTTTGCCCGACTGAAATTATATTTGAACCAACTTTTAGTCAACAGCTTATCAATAACAATAATAATATCCACAAAGAGCCAGATGTGGCTCTAGAAATTCATTTCACTCGTCAGCTTGTGTAGAATCTTATTTTTGTTAAAGTTTCATATCAAGCCCGACACTAGAAAAGAAAAAAACGAAACCAAACAGATGCAGATAAGTAACGCTAAAGTAGCCGCAATCTCAAGCTGAAACTGAGATACGAATACAGTATCTTTATCTTAATTCCCAGCTGTATCTTGTTTCTGCATTTAAGAACTGTTGCTCTTCACAGCACTTCTTGTTTTTTAGCTTCGCTTCCGCTGCTATTTGTGCGGGAAAAAATATGCTGTTGCGTATATATTTTATAATTTGTTCATTTTCAATCATTATATGGTTTGCAGCCCAGACAGATAACGCCGAGACATTGACCTTTTTCGCTGATTTTTTGTTTTTCCCTAGCCTCTTCTATTCGCCTCGATTCTGGGTTCTCCATTCTCGGTTCTTGTGCCTGCTCTCTTTCTTTGTTGTCAGATTAGCCGGCCAAGTGGATAAACCAGTTTTCGCCTCCGCCACTCTGCCGTCTTCTTGGTTTGATTCTCGGCCCTCTATCCTCCGTGTTTTTGCCCATGTTCATGTTGCTTGACTTTGGCTAATTAGCCAAGAGTGGATGTTTTGTTGTTGCTGTGAGCCCTTGCCCCGCCTCGAATTTCGTAACGTTGAACTTAGGAAAATCTTGGCATGCAAACAAATTAGTTAAAGTGGCGAGGAAGCGGTCAATTGCATATACTTTTTTTTTTTTTTTTAATAAATTTAAAATGTATCAAAAAACACAATTTTTTCATTTATTAAGTAGCGCAACTCTGATTGATATATTTTTTTAGTTGTGTTAACTAAATGCTTCTGTCCTAAAAAGGGTTTCATAACGAAGTATATGTACATATATACATAGGTTCCCTTTGCTCAATCCAGCAACGATTTCACAATAAAAATGGATGAGTCCCCAGAGGTTTACTCAGGTTTTCATGACTCACTTCATACCTTATGCTTCCCACCTTCTTCGCTCTTTCTGCCCCAACAATGGATTTGCTTTTAGAAATAAATAGCTGGAATCTGAATCTCAATGCTTACATGTACATAAGTGAAAAGTTTATTCACGTACATATGTATGCATGTATGTATAATGTGTTATTAGAGTCGGTTGAGTTTGAAACCTTGGCACCTGCAAGTGAGAATAACGCTGAAAGGCAAATCGACTGACTGAAAGCAAACACTCTGGGTCACAAGAAAAACATTCTGTTAACTCATTTGAAGTGACAATAGCGAAATTAAATTAATTATGCCAAGCAACCCATTTGTTTAATAACAAAATACACCCACAGGAAAATGGTCGCGGCGAGGAAACCAAGAGACAATTACCCAAAGTGTCTACTAAAATTATAAGAGAACCCACTGTGCTCCACCCTCAAAACAAAACACTCCCCCAAAATCCTTCACTCCTCAATTATCCTGGCAAAGTACGTAATTATTTTTGTTGCTCGAAGGGTTCTGGGTGAAAATGTTAACTTTGTTTCCGCCTGATTGAGCATTTACTCCAATGTTATTGTCTATGGGTCATTTGCAGCACCCTTGGCTGTATTTCATTTTAAGCCTTGATTGTTGTGGTTTCTTCAGTTGCCGGTGAGTCAAGTGCTTCACTAGTGCTTTATGTTAAGGGGAAATAACAATAAATTAAGAGACTTAATTGTTTAAAGGTTCAAGAAAAAACGGGTTTAGAAGACTGGAATAAAAGTACAAAAACTTACCATTTACGATGATGATGAAAATGATCGATACGAATACAATGTAGAAAGCACATTTTGATGACATTATTTGCGATGGGGATCCAACGTGGATGGTGTCGATTAAACAGAATTAGCACAAAATTTCTGTTTGCTTTGTTTTTATTTCCGCGAAGGTCGTTGGTTGGTCTTAATAAATTCCTTTTGGCAGTAGTTGGTTGCGTTTTTGGGCACCTCGCACTCCAATTTTGCGCGGGTTTTTAATCAGAGCTTCGCACTTTCCATGCCATTTACAAATTTAGCACTTTTTGCATGGGCCATAAAACTTCGCAGCACTTTTCCGCACGCACGAATTATTTTTGCTATTTTTTGCAACTTCTTTTCGAGCTCTTGTCACGTACACTTTTTCCTATATTTTTATTTCATTCCAATATTTTCTCGTTAAAAAATTATAAGCGAAAATAAAAAAGAAAAATCTTCGTTTTTGGTTGTTATTTTTGTGTCTATTCACTGGATTGTTTATTTCTGAAGGTAGAAGAGTGAGACATTTAGATCGTCACTTTTATTTTGATTTAATTTGAAATAACAAAAAAAATAAAAACGCCTATTTTACTTTGTTTTTTTTTTTTTTGTTTATTTAGATTACATTTACGTTATATTTATAAGTTCAGTATGTGTTTCTCCTTGCTTAATAAATTTAATAACATTCGGAAAAGGAAAACATTAGCAATACAAACAAACAGAAAATCACAACAAAAACAGCTATTGGCCTTTGCACTCGAACAAAGGCGATGAGCAAGCGCAGAGAGGAGAGCGAGAGAGGGAGAGCTGATGCAACAGAGACGATAAAGAGCGACGGAAAAGGAGAGAAGGAGAGAGCGAACGTTGCGGCGCAAGCGCAACAAAATGCATTAAATTAATTATTGTTGCTTTCAAGATTGTTGTTGTTGCTGCCAGAAGAAAACAACAAATCGATATGTTTACAATGCTGTTTCAAATAAATAAGGAACAAACCACAATTTTCGTGAATATTATTATGTAGAGTTTAACTTTGCAAATGGGCTAATTTAACAATGCTTTCGCATGTTTACTTGTTTTCCTGTGCCTCTTCCTATCCTTCTTTTATAGTCTCTCTTTTATGTTGTGTTCTCCGATTGCCACTCTTCATTTCTCTCCATCTCTCTCTCGTTTGCTATGTGTTGCCGTAAATTAAATGCGTTGAAATGCAGCCATTTTGTCTCCGCAATTGGCACTCACTTGAACTCCCGTTGAATATTTTGTTTAGCCGCAATTCTCAATTGGCCGCAGTCGGGGGCATTTTCTTTGATTAGCGCACATTTCCTAAGCCTGACTTGGCGATTTATTTATTTATTTTTAATTCGCTCACACACTCGCACACACACACACGAACGCACGCACACATGCAAACGCACGAACACGCGTCCAGCGATTTTCCGACTCCCACGGCGTTCCGATATCCGTTGCAAAGAGATACGCGTGCAGCTCGCTTGGAGGTTTTTTTTAAACTACCCGATTTCTCACAATTTATACATATGTACTCTCGTTTTAGTGTGACCAGCACCACGAAAGCAATTTTTCCTTCCTAGCTACCTCTTTTGCTAGTATTTTCGTGCGCGTTAATACTGATTTTACACATAGAGATGACACAATGTGTTATCGAATATCGATTGCCGTTTAAACTGAGAAATAAGTTAGAAGTAGTTATATTCATAAAAAAGCGCATGCTTTTCGGCTATATATGACAAGATTTTTAACAAATTGTCAAAATAATCGAAATCAATAATCGACAGATTTCATTAAGCAAATAATACGAATTAATTCAATTTTACACCTTACATGGAATCACGCGTTACTTATTAATAGGCAAGTAATTCATTAATAATATATTAGCATATTAATAAATACTTCCATTTTCACAAATTGAGAAAAATAAATTCAAAAAAGGCCGCCAAAGTTTAAATTATTCTGCATCCCTTGTTAATTTGGTCGATACTAATTGTAAGCCTGGTGGCAACCTTTGTCATATTCCCACAGCGTTGCCAGACTTAATATTTAGGGTTTATAAAAAAACCAATCGAAATTGGATTTTGGCACAAATATATATAGTAGATAGTACTTAATTTAATATATAGTTAATATATAATTAACTTAATATAGTGAACGCTTCTTTGGTGTTTTGATTTAATACCTTCAATAACAGGGTGATGCACTTTTGAATGGCGCGCCCACTTTTGACATGCTGGGATTTTTTAGTGATAAACTCGCTGAGGGGGCCATGAGTCGTGCCGCCTGGCAACGCTGCGTCAGATGCTCATCGAGTGTTGCTGCGGGTGGACGTGCTCGCTTTCTCTCTCCGTTGCGGTTAACTCGCGTTCGCGCTCGCGTATTCGTGTGTCTGTCCGCGTTCCCCGTCCGTGTGTGGGTGTAGGTGCCAATGTGTGTGTGCCTTTGGTCGCGTGTCGTCGCCGCTTTCATGTAAACGAAGATTGTGCAAAAGGTAAACGCCAAACGGTGGCAACAACAGTGAATGATAAACAGAAGCGAGACAACCAGCAAGCACAGCAACAATACCAACAACTAACAGCAAAGAAGCAAGCAAACAAAACTTGTGAAATACTTTTTGTTTATTTTTTTTTTTTGCCCTGGTCTGGTGGCAAGTGGCAAAAGCTATAAAAAACGATTCTCAAAAACAGGTTTTCTGAGAGAGCGAGAGACAGAGAGAGGAGCGTTTACTGCAAATGCGAATCTAGAAGCTTAACTGCTGCCGCACAGTGGTCACCACTAGACTTCTAAGCTTGCACCACTGTGCGCCCAGAACTTGTTTTCTCCATCTCTTCTTTTGACGCCGCTCCCCACTCCTCCCCTCCCGGTGCAGCTAACTACTCCTTTCATCGGGCGTTTTAGAATGCATATTTCGTTTATGGGAAGCTCACATGCAGCGCCCCCCGAAATCAATACGGAAAACGGTTTTTCCCGAAAGAGCCGTTACTTTTCGGGAAATCCCCGTTCCATTGCTCCTCGGCTCTGCCACAAAAATCAGCTGGCTCGGCAGTCGGCGCAGCTCTGCCGGCGTCGGCAGTGGAGGAACTGCGTCGGGCGCCTAGCAACAGAGGTTAACCTCTGACTACAGGGACGGTTCACGCTTGGGCGCTCAAGCTCTCGGGAAGCAACACGTTACATAAGGTGGCAGCAGTTTGTCAACCCCAAATTTGGATACTCACAAGTCTGGGCATTATGTGGTTGTTAAAATCATTATGATATCATATTGTCAGTATCATATTATGATACTGAACCTAAAACAGTGGGATCTCAGAAGGTTCTTATAGCAGCTATAGAAAAATCATCCCAAAAGGCGAAATATACGCCATCTTTAAATCAATACTATCTTGTAGAACATAAAAGGGTTCATTACAATTATCTCTTAACCAGAACCTAAACTCAAACTAAAATACTAGATACAAATAGTAAAGCTTGCAAAATAGCAAAACTTCCATTGAAGGCATTCTCAAAATCGCTAAAAGGTTTAACTGCTTTAATAGTTTGGTTAATACGAAACTTGGTTAAATGAAACCTCAAGGACTAGCGTTTTTTGGCCCCTCCCCGATATTGAATGATTTCGGGCCTGGTCCTTACCGCCGTCAGCTGTGCGCTGAGTGCGCAGGCGCCACACGCACACCAGCACACGCACACCGATGTGGCAGCCACAGGCAGCAGGAAGCAGGCAGCAGAAGAAGAAGCAGGAGCAGGAGCAGCAGAGGAGGAAGAAGAGGACCAGCCTGCTGGTTAACTGCCTGACTTTGGCCCGCAAAATTGCATTGCTGGCGTCTCGCTCGCACGCACTTACTTCGGCAGTAATGCCGGAAAATGGAAAAATGTGAAGGTGGGGCAGAAGGGGGCGGCGAGGGGGAAACGGCGCGATGTGGGCCGAAGCTCGCAGTTGGCAGTCGGCAGTCGGCTTTACATAAGTTGACGTCCGTGGCAGGCGGTCTGCTCCTGGAATTTCAGTGCCCGGCTGCAGGTCCTTTGCTCAGGTTGCTCAGTTGACGCGCTTTTCAGTTTTTCCGGTGGATCAGCTGCTGGCGCTTTGCAACTGGTTCGGATTTTTCCTTCATACCTGATTTTGAAAAGTTTACTTTACAATTTGTTGTACTATTTTTTGGTTTCATTTGAATTGGTTCTGCCTGCAAACCGGCTGCAAATGGCCAAAAGGTTCGTCGACAGTTTTGTGTTTTTTCAGCTGTTCGACTGGTGGAAGACAAAATAAAAAAAGAAGTGGTTAGACCTCTTTTTTTATTACACTTTAATTTGGATTTTTTGCCATTATTTATCTCATTTCTCAACTATTGCTATTTGCCGCCTGCGTGGGCCACTTTCAAAAGCTTTTTTCGGGGCTTCCGTCGATTAGTTTTGGCTTTATTTATTTATTTATTTATTTCGTATTCGACGAAGCCAAAAAACTTGATTTGTGCGCACGGCCAGCAGTAAATCAATTTAACAATATCAAATCGCTCGTAAAACCGTTTGAAAAAACACGTCTAAACCAATTTATCCCTACATGTACATGTATATATAAAACCATGCAGCCGAAGTGTTAATCGACAAACTACAACAGCAACAAAGCCGGAGAAAACAACATGTGAGGCGGCTCAAAAAGTTAATTCTGCCAGTCGAAAAGATGGCCGCCAGGATGTGCAGCATCGTTTCCATCGTCATCATCTAGACTTTAGATGCAGCAACAGCAGCAGCAGCAGCAGCACTCACAGATACACACGCATACCAATGCCGCTGGCAGCCAGACACTCGCACACCAATACCAATGCCAGTCCCTCTTAAAGGTGAGTCGCACTTAAAGTCTTGCATTTTAAATACCCTGCAGTCGTAAAACTGGGTGAACCTAGAGTCTCTCGAGTTTCGGAAGCCAAGTGCAGAAAGTTAGCAATATTAACGCTATGAACTTGGACCTGCCTTCAAAGTAATTAATTATTTTGTTACTGTTTGTTGCACCTGCAGAGAAGTGCTAAAAATTCACCAAATCAGTTCCTTGTACTGAATCCTTAGAAATCCCGATTCGTGATTATTTAAAGAAAGTTCCTAAACCTTACTAAATTGTTTGAGATAAGATTAGGTTACGTACCATATGTATGGTTTCTTTATTATATTGTTATTATTCCTTGGAATTTTGATTGGAAATCTGCTACTGTGTGCCCATCAACCCGAATTTGAGCCTTTCCTAGTCCACTTTGCACGTTTACATGATAATCCTCGATAATAAATATATGTGTGCTGGCAAATGTATTTTGAAACCTTCGTCTATCAAGCCTTGCGAAATGTCCAATCAAGACGAGAATCGCATGATGAATGACCTCAGCATTCCCATCAATCTTACAAAACTGTCCCCCCCGCCAGACTCAAAATTTGAGCTTGAATTTCTTTGATATGCTTGATATGCGTGCTTAGAGCATCTCAAAGTCTAACATTTCTCCTTCGCTTTTTTTTGGATTGGCGAAATAAGAAACTCCAAGCGCGAATTTTTATAACCGCTTGGAGTCGGAATTGGAATCGGATTTGAACCCGGGACGAAGCTGGAGATCTGGCCAAAAGAGAGTTCAAGCCAAGTGTAGGGCTGTTTTTTTTTATATTTTGTTCGTAATTTTTTTTCGGTTTTGGTCGCGAGCCCATTGAAAAAAAGCTCGTCAAACCAGTCGCCGCCGTTTGTATTTTGTTTTTGCCTCTGCTGGCTGTTTTTATTGTTGTTGTTGTTGTTATTGTTGTTGTTGTTGTTATTGTTGTTGTTGTTGTTGTTATTGTTGTTGCTGTTGTTGCTTCCTAGGCCTGGGCAAACTGGCCCCCGTTGATGACTTTTTACATAGACGCTGGCCCGAAGAGATACCAACTGAGATACGAGTGTTAGCCAGCCCAGCCATACGGTCATATTGCCATAGAGCCATAGCCATAGAGGCCCAGACTACTCGACCGACAGACAAAACATACACTACACGTATCTAAACTTGTTTGAAACGTGTTACATTTTAAGAACGTTCGCCGCAAGCGGCAAGTGGCAATAATCCTTTCAAACTTGACAGTGCTGCCATGTTTGAGAACGCGAAGGGCTTGTGCCCCAGTGGGAGTGGCATGGATCCATGGATTCTCGCCGTTTTTTTTCGTTTTCGTTTTCGTTTTTTTATTTTCTGCTTTTCTTATTTTTCATTTGAAACCTAGCATGTGTATCGATGTATCTACTGTGTATCCGGTGCTCTATATGCTGGCTGTCAGTCTATCTGGCTCTGCAGACGTTTTGGCTGCCTTTGTTGTTATCATAATGCTTTTCTTTTTCTTTTTTTGTTTTGTAACACACGGGTGCTCTCCTTTTACCCAAATCCCACACAAAATGGTCACAAAAAAAAAGGAAGGGGGAAAAAAAAGTGAAATTGATATTTTCGCACAAATTGCCGTTAACAAGGATTGGTGGATGGTGGACGGGCACCTAGGCAACGAAAAATTTGCCTGACAAAAATTGGTTGAAAATATGCAGCGAAAATGAAATGAGAATAATAAATATGGGAAAAAAGTGTTAGGTTCAAACGGGAAATTGTTTACCGTGGTTCCAAAATGATGTAATTTCGCGTGTTCGTGCAATTCAATTTCCTGCCAGCGGAAGCCCGCGTCGCTCTACTCGCCCATTGAAGTCAAACATTCGTTCCCGACCCCATCATCATCAGCCTCCCTATAAAGTAGGAAACCACCCCCACCACACCAAGTTTAAAATGTTCTCCAAAAATTGTTTGGCAATTCCAGGCTCATTTTTTTATCGCCCTCCAAACTTTAATTGCCCCTCGACCAAATTTCGTTGAGCATACAGTGCCAGAAAATCGGGTAGATATTTATGTGCATATGTACATATATTCTACTACAACAGCAGTGTATTATGTAAAATTCAATTTAGCTGATTTTGCTATCATAACAGCTCATCCGTTTTGGGCAGCAGCCTTCTCCTGCAAGGAGTCAATAAAATTAGGGGTACTTCTTTGTGAAAAGTCCAGTTGATTCACTTGAATGAAAATAGCTATGTAATCTAAGCAAAAAATATATCTTGCCTATGCAAATTCAAGTTACACAGATAAAGTACAAAAATGAATAAACAAGTAGGATATACAACCATATTTTAGACCATCAAAGTGGTGACCATGTCTTAAAAATTGTTTTCTGTTTAAAATATATTTAGACTATCCTAAGACGTTGTTCATTATAATGTGCGAAAAATCTCGTTCAAAAGTGTATGAAAAGTTCGTTATTTATTTGGGCATACAATTTCCAAAGAATATTTGCCATATTTCGCATAAATAAATTATATTGAAAAGACATCCCCCGGTCATTGCCTGCCCCTCCAGCCTGCTGGGTTTCCTTTTGGCCGGGTCTGGCTGGCATTGCCTATATTAACAATAATTCCTTTGTGCCCGGGCATCTTGCCAAAAAGTTGGCGACCGCCCTGCTCCTGGCACAGCAGGCGACGAACGTTTTGTGGCCAATTTCCCGTACCCAAAGGCCGACTTTTTGTGTGACCCATTGTCAAGTCAAGTCAAGCCGGACAAGGTCTACCCGCTCTCCATCCACCCATGCCACATCCCCATTCTGCCACCCGCTATACAGAGCGACTTTTGTCTAGAGTTAAACTCAAAAAAATCAAGAAAAAGTTGGCGAAGAAAGGCAGTACCACTGCGGCAGCGGCGTAAGCGAACTGCAAACTTTGGAGTCCATGACAACCAGTATAACTGCTGAAAGCCCATTGATTGAACCTGGTCATGCGGTTTGCTTGCATTTTCAAAGTTTCGCCACCCGACTTTGTTTGAGGCAGCTTAAAAATAAACACAAAATGTATTTTAAATCTGGAGTATTTAAGTACATTTTTTTATTATCGTTCATACGGACGGACAGACGGACGGACATGGCTAGGTCGACTCGGCTGATTCCGATCAAGATCCTTATCAAGAATAAGAGTGCAAATGTTTCTTTCCTGCGGACAAACTGTTATATCAGGTTTTATAAATTCAAAAAGAATAATTCAACCACTATTAAGAATAACACTAGAGAACCCGAAATAAAACTCAAAATCCAGTTAGACTAAAGAAACTTTTGTTGGTTGCCAGTATAGATGTAGTAGTACCCTCCGTTAAATCTTAGTGTGGCAAGTTCATAGCGCATGGTGCCACTCACCGGACTGGCAGCCACTCGCACCGGTGACGAGGAGAAGCTGAGGGTGCGGTAGAAGAAGGCAGTGAGGAAGCTGGCACTGATCACAAAGGCCACAAAGAAACCCAGACAGAAGATACAATCCTTGTTCACCTGCAGGCAAAGACAAAGGGCTGCCACAAAATCGCAGATGGAGCGTCCAATTCGCGCGCAGATCGTCTGTCGAAGCTGGGGAGGATTGCCCGGCATATTGTTGCCACTAATGGTGAATGTGTGCTGCGTGCGTTCGCAGGGCGGTCGATTTGGATCAGGTCTCAGGTTGGTTGGATCAAAGCGCAATCGCCGGGACTGGGATGGCATCTCAGCGGTCTGCGTGCCCAGTTCGCAGTATTGTGGAATTTGGAGAATCACTGCCGGATGTGGTGCCACCCGGCTCTCCCTGGCATCCATATCGTTGGAGAAGCGACAGATCAGTTCCAGTACATTATGCAACTGCTTAGGGGCTCCTGCCTTGTTTGGAATCTCTGTCTTGGTCTGGAGACCCTGATCCTCTGACGATTTCTGTCCTTGAGCATTGAGGACTGCGGATTGAGCACTCGTGCTGGCCACATCATCGAGCTCGAAAGTCACCCGATTGTTCTCTATTCGATCCGCACTCGGAAGCTGCTCCTTTAGGTCAAGTTTTACAGAAGCATCCGTCTCTGTGGCGCCCAAATTTGCATCTGGCAGATACACCACATGACCATGTTCATCGGCGGATGGCATGTTTATTATAACTTGATGAGATTCTGGCAATGACAGCCTTTCCTCTGCATCGTCCTTATCTTTATGATTATCCATTGTATTGTATTGTGTTGAAAACTGGGAATTTTTTTACCAGCTTATACCAAATTTGAGTGCCAAATTCAGTTCCGGTGGGATACTTGTCAACATCGTGTTGTGTTAACGAAATTATGTTGGCTTCAGTTGCTTAGAAGGCATTTTTCGAAACTTTTCAAAATTTTATCTGTGGACGCTGTAAACTTAATGGCGTGCAGGGAGCCACCACAGACTGCGATCGTCATAAACTTGCTAATTGGGGATTTGGTTCAGGATGCCGTAAACGAGCCCTGCAAACTGTCCGAGCAAAAGAACACCTGCCAGCGGCTGTTCGACATTTTGGGCTTTCAGGCCGACGAATGCTTCGAGGATTTGGACGGCAGTGATGTGGCTGCAACACCCAGTTCGATCACCGTCCGCACCAATTTAAAATCGAACCTAGTCGAAGCAAACAAACGGAATTGGTACGGTTGGATGTCCAAGGTATTGGCGGAAGGTAATGATATCAACACAAAACAACACTACTTTCAAAATTCCACACAAACGAGGTTAAATTTCGGTGAAAGGAGATACCCGCATTTACTCATCATTGTTATCCGCCACAATAAATCTGATCAGCATATCAACCCGCAGAAAACTCGGACGAGGACGTGGAGATCTTTAGGAAGAAGGGAAGCGACGGGCTCAAGGACATCCATTCGATCGGCGTGCAGACGGACCAGCCGCGTCGCCGCATCAGAGTGTGTCCTGTGGATTTCTCCCCAGCTCTGGCACCCTGCGAATCCACGCGTCACACGATTTTCATCGATGCCGTTTCCGTGCAGATTCCAAACGCATTGGGTCGACCGCCGCTGGCCGATCGATTTTGCTATATTTTGACCGATTTCGCTTCGGCGCTATATTGTAGTTTCGCCATCATGTGTTGTTGCACACCCAATATGTTGAGATGAATTAAAGTGGACAACGCTGGTTGGAGCTCTGTTCAGCTACATTTGTACTATATTTTTACCTATTCAATCAAGTGCAAAACGAATCTTCCTTATTACACTGTGCCGTATTTGGGCGGTATGCCGCGCAAAAGGTTGCGCTTCAACTCGTTCTGCTGGTTGACATTGGTCTGCAAGTTGCCGTAAAAGTGGCTTAATAACAGGTAAAGGCACCATAGGCACAGGATAATGAAAAGCGCAAGTGTCAGATTCTCGCCGATCATGTAGGCACATGCGACAATCGCATCCCCCGCCTGCACAAGGACCTGCCACATCCTTTGGTGCAGTGGAGGCCTCTGCATAGCCGTGAGCGATGTCACCGACTCCACCTCGATGTGGATCGTGTGCTGCAGGATCTTGCTGGGCTTGTCCGTTTCAGGCTCGATACCTCCGCACACAGCCGCCAACTTCGCCTCCAACTGCTTGGCATCCGTGTTACTCTGATCCGCTGCAGTCCACGAGGTCTGACTACTCACCTCGCAGGTGGGCTTGATGGTAACGTCGGATAGCTGAGAAAGACTCGATGATCTATGCTCCACGAATTCATCTTCTGCGAGATCGATCGGATTCAATGGCTACCCCTTCAATAATAACTAAATCATTTATATCTCTCACCTTGCTTGGAAGCAAACTCCTCGGAGCGGGTTCGCTTCAGGCTGGTACATTCAGGTTGTACATTTGCAGTTTTTGGCAGCTTGGTGTATTCTTCAAGCAAATGGCACTTGGTTATGTGCCTGTGAGTTCGATGGGCACTTGTAACCTGGACATCTTTAAGCCCGACACTCCAGCCAATAGGTGGCGCTTTGATGTTATCATCGACTCTTTTTTCTGCTTGTGCAGTTATAGAGCCATCATCTCCAGAAGTGCCACTTCTTGAACTTAGCATGTGGAGGTCTTCTAGTCGCTCCTAGCTGTTGTGATTTAATATGTTTTTCGTGTAAAAATCATGAGTGTGAGCGAGTATGAAGCGAATTAAATTTATTTTCTACCTTTCGTGTCATTTAAAATTAGTCTGCCTGAGTTTCGTAGCAAAGGGTTGCTTTATCTGCTTCAAACGACCCTGGCAGATCGGCAATTGAGCCTCGTTGGCCAGTGGATAATTTTTGCGCTAAATTAAGCAATTTCCTTTCCTGTCTGGCTGGCAGATCCAGAAGCTGCTGTCCATCGACACTTCAGGGTCGACTCTCGTCTATGGATTTTCCTGTCTAATATGACAATTATGACGGTCTACTGCACTAATGTTGTTTTGCATAAGTGCATTTTGGGAACCAAAGCAAACTGCAGGGTTGCTCTCAAAACTGAGATTTCATGCACGTGTTTACGGATCGAAAATTGCAAGAGGAATGCAAATTACTGTCCTTGTGCAAATATATTAACAATTGTTTGTAATTACTTTCAACTACAGGTAGGTTCATTTACCCCGAAATTTGGGATTCAACAACTACTTTAATATACCATCACAATAAATAAAATAAGATAAAAACTTTTGCTTCAGGACACACATAAAATGTCATTTTATTATCTGATATTTTTTTTCACATTCGCTTTAGATCAAAATTCATCCCCCAGATTTAAACCACAATTTCCGTTCAATGGCAAAAAGCTGTCTCCGTATATTTCATAATTTGTTCGAGGGAAACTTTTCGTTGAAACTCTATTAAAGCAGAGGGGACATAATAAATTCATGGAATTTCTCGACTTGGTCGGGTGTACATGTGGCATGTGGAGAGTACGCACATTTGCAGTGGGGAAATCAAAATCCGGGGGATTGGATGGGAACTTTTCTCGGTGCTGTTCTGCAGTAAGTCCTTTGGTGTCCAGTGCGCACCTGCTACTCAGTGGACGTGTTTTTTATTCGGTGGAATGGGTGGTGGGGGGATGCTTCTTTTGGTCCGGCCATTGTTATCATTTAAAAGGCTTAAGTGCGCCGAAGATTTATATTTATATATTTGAAAGGATGGGAATAAAACGACATTCCCTGCGACGAGAAAATAAGATAAACGTACACGTTATTGATTTTCCACTCGCATGTGCCGGCCAGTGTGTTTGCCTTTGGATGATGCTGTTGCCATGGACTGCATCTCCCTGCTTTGCTGCTGCTGCTGCTGCTGCTTCCGCTTTTCCCCTTTTGTGGCGCAGTTTTGTCGCCTGTCCAAAAAATTGAATACTGGGCGGGGGCATGGGGTTTACGTGGGTTGCGGGTTGTGGGCTGTGGACTGTGGGTGTTCAGAGTGGGCTTAACTGGGCAGCCAACGCCTGCGCTTGATTCATCTGCCAGTTGATTGGTGTTTGTGCGAAAGTGTTGAAGCAGAACAACTGGGATTGAGTGGCCACCATCCTTTATCCGCCAGCTTTCAGCTTCCAGCTTCCAGCTCCCAGCTCCCAGTTCGCCCCTTCGGCTGCATGTTAAGCTTTATTTGTGTTGCCTACTTTGAGGCGGCACCGAGGGGCACGCAAATCGATCGTGCTGTGCGTCTCATATAATGGATTTAAACAAAGCCCATTTCGTGAATGCATTTAGTGGGAAAATCCATTCGATTATCATTACAAAATTGTGCAAAATGCTGCCCACGACAGCATATATAAAAAATATTCTTCAATCAGTTGTACGTTCAGTAAATATTCATTGAATGAATATTCATTTTTTTACAACTGAGTTAGAAGCAAGATAGTGCTTATGCCAAGACAAAGTAAATCTCATAATATAAAACATGTGTCCCACTAAATGAATTGCTGTTCTTATTTGAAATTATTGTTAATTAATTCGGCGCACTTTGTTGTCACCACCGCGTTTTTGGCAAGCTTCCTGATTACACTGCCTGAAAATGTGTCGACCTCTTTCTTGGATTTATGAGGTGTGGCTGATTATTTTCGGTGCCGCACGATAAATATATATATCACTCTATATAACCAAATGGTGCAACTGGGCAAATATAGTAGGCGTCTAACCGTTGCCAAAAGTTACTGGCTGCGCTTCGTGCTTGGCCAGCTCGTAAATAATATTTGTTTAGAGATATTTTTGCCTTAATGCTTGTTTGTTTCCTATTACTCTGGGCCTGCTCGTTTATCATCTTGGCCAAAGCCAGCAGTTTCGGATGCTGCAGGAGCAAAAGGACTAGCTACTGGCGCAGCATGCATTCAATTAGCGCCTGGCAAGCTGCGGATTTTCGTCGTGCCATATTATCATAAGGCTCATAATTTCTTGACTTGTTTTTCAGATGTTGGTCAAGATGTACAGATAGCTAGCCTGCAGTTCTGGCATGTTAAAATAATTCATTAGGTCTTAATTCTGAATAATTCAAAGTTGTATGGAACTGTTCTCATTTAATATCATATTGTTAAAGTAAATAAGCTTTAACCTTTTCCAGCACAAATTAATTGTGTTAACTATTATTATTTAATTATTATCTTATCTTATTATCTTATTTAATTTCTACCCAACACCATGAAGTGTTAAAGGCTCCTTTCTGGAGCATTTTTTTTGCCAAAGGCTCGGAAGGGCTGTCAAAACGTTTGCCACTCTTGTCTACGGCAGTGAGGAGGTAAGTAAAATTCCGGGGCAATTCGCAACCAGGACCCCTGCCGATTCCCCAACCTTGTGGCAATCAGTAGCTGGCTATTTTCTCACCTGGCCACTTGGCGCTTAGACATGGCCCACTGCTGGTTAGTTGGCATTTAATGGCATTTGACACTCTTCACCGTGTCTGCAAGCAAAAACATCTCGTGCAAATACAAAATGGATGAAAAAACTGATGTGGATGTTATATTGTCAAGTATCCAGACCGTAAAATACCTGGTACTTAGGTAAAGAATTACTTTTAGTCTTTTAGCTCGGAGGAAATCCATTGCAACCAATTTAAGTTGTAATGCCAGCTCGATTTAATCACCAAAAGTACCTTATTTTATGATCCAAAGTTTAATTATCTTAATAGCCAAAGTAAACCCAATTATAATACGTTTTTTGGTGACTAGAGCTAAAAAACATGTAGGACTGATTGATTATGATATATATTTAATAGAAATACAATATGCCCGCGAAAACACCGTGTAGAAACGAGGATAAGGGAGAGTAAAATAGAATGGAAATATTGATAGGAAAATCAATAGAAAGCGATAAAGGGGATAGAAGGGCAAACAGCAGGCTACTTGGAGCCGGTCGAGCACTTGCCTAATGAAGTTGTTCCTTAAATCGGGAAAGGCATCGACGAAGGACCGGAAAAACAGAAAACCGAGGAGTAAAAAAAGGAACCCCGGACAACAGCCATCACAACATCCATGCACTTAATGCTCTTGTTTGCTTAACTTTATTTGAAGTCCTGGCCTTGCTTACTTTTCCCATACCCTGCATCCCCATATGTATAAGCCAAAAGCCACGCAATTTGCCATGGCTTTTGTCTATGCCATATGTGCAAATGCAGGAAATGTAATTTGTAGACAGCAGAAAACTGCGATTAGAGGCAGCCACTGATTTGCGATTACTGATTTTATCAACGAATTGCGAGCCCTGTCATTGGTCTCTTGAATTACGAGTATGCCAGCTTCACCATTACAGTGCAATGTTTAAATTATTTGTCGTGCTCAATTTGCCCGAATAACATTTTGTGCATGGCTGGCAAAGTGTATTAAATTATTCAGGTCTTACGTACTCTAACTTTAGCTGCTGTCCTTCTCGCTGGGCTTGTTATTGTTTTCGAGCGATGACTATGTTGTTTACAAATGAACGCAGCTTACGCAGCACGAATGGCAGCGCAAGGACCTTTTCTGCCAGCCTCATGCTGACCGCTGGCTCCCAGACAAGAAGAAAAAAAAAGAGGAAAAAGCTAAGAAAAAGGGGGGCTTATACGAAAGCTGGACATCATTCTGCTGGTCCGGAATGTAATGCATTTAGCGGTGAGCAGTGAGCGGTGGCACGGAAAATATTCGCTCCGCCGATATGGTTTCGCCTTGCACCGAATAATTGGCTTATTTTGCGGTCAAATTAATGCAGCTGCAGGAGGCAGGACGGCCAGGATGTCTGCAACTCGTTCACGTTGCATGTATTTTTAATTAATTGCAAGCCCCCCCCATCTGCCCCAAGGTAACAGGAGCTGAGTTTGCCAGCCATCGCATGCCATTTCGTCGTCCCATGTGGTCAGCCCCGCCCCGCGTCCTTTTCTTCGCTACGTGTCCGTGTTGCTCCTGGATTCTTGCCTCCTGGAAGGTGTGTGTCTGTGTGCGGGCACTCCTGGCACAATAATAGGTTTACTTCCACTTTTTTGCAGTATCCTGCATTGGCGATGCTACCAGAAATGTCGATTTCAATTACGGGAGACATTAATTAATTATGCCCTTTAAGTTAAGTAATTGATTTAAATTAGTTATTACATTGGGCAGGTCGCATTCGACATTGAGGTTCTTTAAAAATATTTCTTAATTCCGTTCAGATATTAAGGTATTGCATTTAACCTAATTTAAGGCTGTTAATGGTGGTTGTATAAAAGTTGTAGTCATGTAAGAGCATTTTAAAGTCGCATAGAGTAGGTTAAACACTTTGTTATCATCATTTTTTCCTATATGACCGCAAGTCACCAGCAGCGCTACATCATTTGCGGTTAATTGTAATTAAAGTTCAGTGGTATGCTCCAAAGCACACACGTTGCCCCTTCCGCCGACAAACTTTTCCGGGTGGCCACCGCAGAATACCGAACCATATCACATCCTGTGCGAGCTCAGCATTTCGTGCTCATGATGTCACAAGTATCGCAAACAATTTGAAACACGATACGCAGCACACATACGTACATAGATGTCATAGATGTCATTTGGGAAACCAAATTTTTGTGACGACAATCGACTAGAACAGAGACTAGAATGCCGGAATCGAACCCCAAGACGCTCTGCCGCCCCAGCAATGGCCTCGACCAAGCGGAGGAGTCCGACGTCGGCCTGGCCGCCAATCTGGTCACCCAAAGGAACCTCCGACTGCACCCCCGCCCACAGCGCCAACGTCCGCCGCGAGCCCGTCGCGATGCCACCGGCTTTACGGCCAACCAGGAGGTGCGGCTAAAAGCCGGCGACATGCGCATGGCCCGGCTGCAGATCAGTCTCTCCCAGCTGCGCACCGCAATGGAGGAGTCGGGCAAACAGCTGAAGGACCTCTGCCAGAAGGTGCGGTTGAATGTGGATGCTGAGTGAAGGGTCCTGCAGTTTCGGTCAAATATCCTTAAGCATTCCTTTGCAAATGCAAATCCATTCAATTTAGGAAGTGCCAAATTTAAGTGTATACGGTAGAATACAAATAATAAGAAAAAATGTACATGAATTTGCGTGTACATGAATTATATATGTATATGGGATGTCCCGTATTTTTTTTAAATTTTGTTGTAAAAAATTTCCCAAGGCTCAAGTTCTATACTCCATAACTCAACTTATCTTAATACTTAATAAAGTGTCATACCTCTAAATGTTTCTTTCGCAATTCTCTAAAAATCTGCATTCAAATTTAAAAATTTATTTTTTTTAAATTTTTTTGTAATATTTTTGATGTGATGTAGAAATTCAACAAAATTAAGAAATGTCCCAAATCTGAAGTTCTATACTCCATAACTCAACTAATCTTGATCGGATTTTGAAGTGGCATACCTCTAAATGTTTCTGGCGCAATTCTCTACAAATCTGCATTCAAATTTAGAAATTTATTTTTTTTCAATTTTTTTGTCATTTTTTTGATGTGATGATGTTGTAGAAATTCAAAAACCTATAAAATGTCCCAAGGCTGAAGTTCTATACTCCATAACTCAACTAATTTTAATCGGATTTTGAAGTGGCATACCTCTAAATGTTTCTGGCGCAATTCTCTACAAATCTGCATTCAAATTTAGAAATTTATTTTTTTTTCAATTTTTTTGTCATTTTTTTGATGTGATAATGTTGTAGAAATTCAAAAACCTATAAAATGTCCCAAGGCTGAAGTTCTATACTCCATAACTCAACTAATTTTAATCGGATTTTGAAGTGGCATACCTCTAAATGTTTCTGGCGCAATTCTCTAAAAATCTGCATTCAAATTTAGAAATTTATTTTTTTTTAATTTTTTTGTAGTTTTTCTGATGTATGATGTTGTAGAAATTCAACAAAATTAAGAAATGTCCCAAATCTGAAGTTCTATACTCCATAACTCAACTAATTTTAATCGGATTTTGAAGTGGCATACCTCTAAATGTTTCTGGCGCAATTCTCTAAAAATCTGCATTCAAATTTAGAAATTTATTTTTTTTTAATTTTTTTGTAGTTTTTCTGATGTATGATGTTGTAGAAATTCAACAAAATTAAGAAATGTCCCAAATCTGAAGTTCTATACTCCATAACTCAACTAATCTTGATCGGATTTTGAAGTGGCATACCTCTAAATGTTTCTTTCGCAATTCTCTAAAAATCTGCATTAAAATTTAGAAATTTATTTTTTTTCAAATTTTTTGTAATTTTTTTGATGTGATGATTTTGTAGAAACTCAAAAACCTATAAAATGTCCCAAGGCTGAAGTTCTATACTCCATAACTCAACTAATTTTAATCGGATTTTGAAGTTGTATACCTCTAAATGTTTCTGGCGCAATTCTCTACAAATCTGCATTCAAATTTAGAAATTTATTTTTTTTCAATTTTTTTGTCATTTTTTTGATGTGATGATGTTGTAGAAATTCAAAAACCTATAAAATGTCCCAAGGCTAAAGTTCTATACTCCATAACTCAACTAATTTTAATCGGATTTTGAAGTGGCATACCTCTAAATGTTTCTGGCGCAATTCTCTAAAAGTCTGCATTCAAATTTAGAAATTTATTTTTTTTCAATTTTTTTGTCATTTTTTTGATGTGCTGATGTTGTAGAAATTCAAAAACCTATAAAATGTCCCAAGGCTGAAGTTCTATACTCCATAACTCAACTAATTTTAATCCGATTTTGAAGTGGCATACCTCTAAATGTTTCTGGCGCAATTCTCTAAAAGTCTGCATTCAAATTTATAAATATATTTTTTTTCAATTTTTTTGTCACTTTTTTATGTGATGATGTTGTAGAAACTCAAAAACCTATAAAATGTCCCAAGGCTGAAGTTCTATACTCCATAACTCAACTAATTTTAATCGGATTTTGAAGTGGCATACCTCTAAATGTTTCTGGCGCAATTCTCTACAAATCTGCATTCAAATTTAGAAATTTATTTTTTTTTTCAATTTTTTTGTCATTTTTTTGATGTGATAATGTTGTAGAAATTCAAAAACCTATAAAATGTCCCAAGGCTGAAGTTCTATACTCCATAACTCAACTAATTTTAATCGGATTTTGAAGTGGCATACCTCTAAATGTTTCTGGCGCAATTCTCTAAAAATCTGCATTCAAATTTAGAAATTTATTTTTTTTTAATTTTTTTGTAGTTTTTCTGATGTATGATGTTGTAGAAATTCAACAAAATTAAGAAATGTCCCAAATCTGAAGTTCTATACTCCATAACTCAACTAATTTTAATCGGATTTTGAAGTGGCATACCTCTAAATGTTTCTGGCGCAATTCTCTAAAAATCTGCATTCAAATTTAGAAATTTATTTTTTTTTAATTTTTTTGTAGTTTTTCTGATGTATGATGTTGTAGAAATTCAACAAAATTAAGAAATGTCCCAAATCTGAAGTTCTATACTCCATAACTCAACTAATCTTGATCGGATTTTGAAGTGGCATACCTCTAAATGTTTCTTTCGCAATTCTCTAAAAATCTGCATTAAAATTTAGAAATTTATTTTTTTTCAAATTTTTTGTAATTTTTTTGATGTGATGATTTTGTAGAAACTCAAAAACCTATAAAATGTCCCAAGGCTGAAGTTCTATACTCCATAACTCAACTAATTTTAATCGGATTTTGAAGTTGTATACCTCTAAATGTTTCTGGCGCAATTCTCTACAAATCTGCATTCAAATTTAGAAATTTATTTTTTTTCAATTTTTTTGTCATTTTTTTGATGTGATGATGTTGTAGAAATTCAAAAACCTATAAAATGTCCCAAGGCTAAAGTTCTATACTCCATAACTCAACTAATTTTAATCGGATTTTGAAGTGGCATACCTCTAAATGTTTCTGGCGCAATTCTCTAAAAGTCTGCATTCAAATTTAGAAATTTATTTTTTTTCAATTTTTTTGTCATTTTTTTGATGTGCTGATGTTGTAGAAATTCAAAAACCTATAAAATGTCCCAAGGCTGAAGTTCTATACTCCATAACTCAACTAATTTTAATCCGATTTTGAAGTGGCATACCTCTAAATGTTTCTGGCGCAATTCTCTAAAAGTCTGCATTCAAATTTATAAATATATTTTTTTTCAATTTTTTTGTCACTTTTTTATGTGATGATGTTGTAGAAACTCAAAAACCTATAAAATGCCCCAAGGCAGAAGTTCTATACTCCATAACTCAACTAATTTTAATCGGATTTTGAAGTGGCATACCTCAAAATGTTTCTGGCGCAATTCTCTAAAATTGTGCATTCAAATTTAAAAATTTATTTTTTTTCAATTTTTTTGTCATTTTTTTGATGTGATGATGCTGAAACATACAAAACAATTAAGAAAGGTCCCAAGGCTGAAGTTCTAAACTCCATAACTCAACTAATTTTAATCGGATTTTGAAGTGGCATACATCAAAATGTTTCTGGCGCAATTCTCTAAAAATCTGCATTCAAATTTAAAAATTTATTTTTTCAAAATTTTTTTGTAATTTTTTTGATGTGATGATGTTGTAGAAATTCAAAAAAACTAAGAAATGTCCCAAGGCTGAAGTTCTAAACTCCACAACTCAACTTATCTTAATCGGATTTTAAAGAGGCATACCTCTAAATGTGTCTGGCGCAATTCTCTAAAAATCTGCATTCAAATTTAAAAATGTATTTTTTCAAAATTTTTTTGTAATTTTTTTGATGTGATGATGTTGTAAAAATTAAAAAAAAACTAAGAATTGTCCCAAGGCTGAACTTCTAAACTCCATAACTCAACTTATCTTAATCGGATTTTGAAGTGGCATACATCAAAATGTTTCTGGCGCAATTCTCTAAAAATCTGCATTCAAATTTAAAAATTTATTTTTTCAAAATTTTTTTGTAATTTTTTTGATGTTAGATTTTGCAGAAATTCAAAAAAACTAAGAAATGTCCCAAGGCTGAAGTTCTAAACTCCACAACTCAACTTATCTTAATCGGATTTTAAAGAGGCATACCTCTAAATGTGTCTGGCGAAATTCCCAATTTCTACCGATATTCCAGAAAATTTTGAAATTTCTCGTTAGCACTTCCACTAGCTGAGTAACGGGTATCTGATAGACGGGGAACTCGACTATAGCATTCTATTTTGTTCTTGCTCATTTAACGAAAATGTTTTCTGTTGGGGCATTTTATACAATCATACAATCATTTTGGTTTGATACTTTACGAAAAAGTTAGGACCTAATTCATAAAGCAACGCTTAGTAACAAGAAATGTATACCAAATCTTAGGATTATTAAACATCTAATGGTACTTTAATAAGCAATCTACTAGTCCATAGAAAACAATGCTACACACATTTGTGTATTCACCAATGACCGAATTATGACAATCAGAATACTAACGAATTAAATTCCGTTTCTCATTGCAGACTGCATGGATCCCATGTCAAATTCATTTATGAGTTCTAGCACTGCAAAAAACGAAGCTCATTCGACGCCCACCAAAAAGCATTTGGCTGTTGTTCCACGAAGTCAACAAGGAGAGACAGGTATGTAGATATGTGATGTATACATATGAGTTGCATTCATATGTTAATACGATATGAAGGTGTGCAGGACCTGCTTTCTCATAATTCCGGGACCCAAATCCCTTTCGCACTTGGGGATTTGGTTGGGGAAAGCGTGATGGCTTGATTTAAATTAAAAATTTATTGCATATTTTTTTGCTCACCCATCATTGCATATTGCCTGCTCCTGTGTTTGTGTGTGTGTGTGGGCGTGAGTGTGAGCCCAGGAAAAAATGTGCAAGTTTGTATTTAAAAATATATATTTATACATAAGTATACCTACTCGTTCGTGTGTGTGTATAAATTAAATTTGTGTGCGCCTTTGAACGCGCACAGGACGAACAACCGGCAACATGCATGAACATGCCATGAACTCGAATTTCCAACGCCAACGGGTTAAGGATGTCCTGGCCTGGGGAAACCTGAAAGATATGTGGGCATAGTCAGTGGGTAGCAGGGCGTTACAAAACGAAGGTACTGCATACATACATATGTATGTATGTATGTACGAGTATGTACAATATAACGAAAGGAGCAAAGGAGCCACGGTGGGTGCCCTCTGCTGAGTTAAGGGTCTGGCGGTCTGGCACTTCAGCAACCGTTTTGATTACTCGCATGTTTTCGCGTGCAACTAAATTAGCGCACGTGTAATCAAGTTCTTTTCGCTGAAAAACAACGAAAAAATATGGAAAATGTACATTGAGGCTTCTGTGTGCGAGAAACCTCCACCTTCCCCATTGCACACAAAGGCTCCATCCATTAACCTCCTGGTGCCCTCGACTTGGGGCTCATATTTGTGTGTGACGTTCGTTGTCGGCAGGATGTTTAAACTAAAGTAATTGATGTCCCCTTGGATGATGTATTTTACGAAAAGTGCATATTCGGGCATAAATCATTTCAATCGTGCCATAAATTATTCAACGAAAGTTTGTGTCTAACAACTCAGTATTTTTCTTGACTAGTAATTCGAACTAGTTTTATTTTCATTGAAGGTTTAAAGCACGTATCACGTATTACCCATTTATCTTAAACTGCAAGTTTGTTAATATTACTTATTGGTTGCAGGACGTGAAAAAGTTGGTTTATTATCAGGATCTATCTTAGCTCTTCACAAATTTTATTATTTTTGATCTAAAAACCAAATTAATACAGACATCAATGTATCCAGGCATCGTATTTGCATTCATGTATATTATCGTATATAATAATGACTATGTTGTATATATTTTAAGTGTAAAGCAAAGAAATTGTTTGCCAATAGTTTATTTTTTTTTTTTTAATCCGTCATTCTAGTACTTTAAAGGGGTCAGTTGGATACGGCGAAATTTTTCCACTTGCGATGACTCGAGACCTCAACTTTTGATTTGTGATGTACTCAATTAGGGATCGGAATTTTCCGAGAGGTACAAACGAAGGAAAATCCTGCTCGCTCATCGTCAAGTTCTTAAATTCATAGTTCACATTCTATGGTTAAACAAAAAAAGCAAATAAGTTATTTTGACAAGTTATTTATTTACTAGGGATAAATACTTACGGCTTGAAAGGGGCATTTGAATTTTACAGTTGAATGTTTTTTCAAATTTTTTACGAACATATTGAACAATCGGTTCTTGTTAGAATTTTCCAGAATGTAGCATCCATCAAACTCAACATCATATAACTTCATTTTCTGCTTGCTGTTCAGCTTCCAAAAATCCAGGGCGGCATGCACGGTTATATCGTCAACGGTGCGTTTGAAAATATGACTCGAATCCATATAGGTGCGATTGTCCACTTGGTAAACCTTGCACTCAAATTTTTCATACAAATCTGTATCTACTTGTGTAATGTTAACTTCATCGATGTAAACGCGAAAGTTCCTCTCCTCGCATCTCATACACTTAAATATGAGAATGGAGCTCCAGATTAAAAGCCAAAAATTCATGACTGCAGATAAATCGGAACTGGTGACCGACTTATATCCAATGAATTTATAAAAATGAACATTAATTTTTTAAAGCATTTAAAGTAATGGCTCTGTTTTGTTACTTTATTGCCCATTAAAATGTATGAAAACCATTCTATTAATTGTTGTAGTCAACTTTATTTAAAATGCTTTTTACGGCCCGATCAGCGGCGAAATACACGACCATGGATGGTCATTTGTATAGCTCTACGTTTCTTAACGAATATGTTGCAATCCGAGGTAAAAGTCATTTCTGGGGCATAGCTGGGTATTAGCTTTGTGTTGATGGTAAATTCATTAATGAAATACCTCTTGTTCTTAAAAAAAATTTTTTTTATATATAAATATAAATTTAATTGCATTAGATTAAAATAATTAAATGCTTTAACTTACCATTTTAAAAGGACAATGCAGTGGAAAATTCGAAACTCGGCGCAGCTCATCGGCAATCATCTTATACAAAAATTGTGATTGTAGAGCTGATAATGCATGACAATAGTCTGTTTCCATTGTAGTATAGTTGATTATGGATGAGCCTTGCTTGAAAGAAAATAAGTAAACTCCTCTTGCATCGCTAACGTCTTTTCTTAAGAAGAATTCAGCGGAAAATGAGTTGAATCCAGAATTTGGCGATTTTCTATGTAAGCGACAGCTAAAGTTCTGCACAAGTCCTTGTGAGTGAATGGGACAGTCAATTCGTGTCATAGACGCGTCCATCTTTTTAGATTAATAATAAATATTAATTTTAAATTAATTATTTCTGCGTTAAGATATGTGTTTAAAGATACAAACCCTTGCCCAGGCATAAAATCCAATGGATGTATAGAAAACAATAAGAACCAGGGGTAAGTTCTTATTACGTTTCATTTTGGAGAAGAAATCTGTTATGACTGCAGCAAAAATGTAGAGCCTTATTAAAACCAGTTTGATTTTGCCAAAAGAGTAATGAGTTTTTGATCTGTTTTTAAGTTGCACACCAAAATCGATTCATCCAATTTGCAAATAACGATTAAAGCTATTAATTCCATACATGAACATATAGTGAACCATAATTGAATATTAAATATATTGAATATTACTGAACATATTGAATATCACTACAAAATAAAAAGCTTCATCAATATATGGGTTTTTATTTCTGCGTAGGAATTTGTATTCACAAGTGTTAATTTATTTAGAGTCTAGGTATAACACTTCCTTGGGTTATAACTCGTGTTGACATGAAAGTTTTATTAAGATAAAATTCAATTATGGATCGGAACCCTCCAGACGGCACGAATGTGGGCAAATCTTGCTCGTCCACATAAAGATTTTTCACGGTATAGTTGAAATTCTAATAAGAAATTATATCTCGCAATAATCTTGGTATAATAGCTTTAATAGTGTCAACACTTACCGCCTTGAGGGGGCACTGCAAGTTAGAATACCTTTTAAAGTTTTTTGAAAATATGTTCACTAAACGATTCCTTTGAAAACTTCCGATTAGGATGCAGGCATCAGATCGACCTTCGTATAACTTCATTTCTTGCCCATTTGGCTTAAGGAAACTCACTACGTTTCGAGCATCCAATTTGACGACTTCACAATTTAGTAGCAAATCACAATTTACATAACTGCGATTACTGCTTTGTTCGACTTGGCAACTCAATTTTTCGATGGTCTTATTATCGAAAATCTTAGTGGTTATGTGATCAATAACTATGCGAAAGTTTCGCCGCTCGGAGCACACGCAACTTAAAAGTAAGAAACAGTAAAGGCAAAATAAACTTCCCATGTTAAACCTCTATACTCGAACTCTATTTAATGAATATTTTTTCAACCGAACAACCAAGTTATTTCAGAGAGTTCTCGAATTCTATATTGCCTAAATAAATGTGTATGTATGTAAAAGCTGGCTATAATTATTATACATTATGTTCCTTGTAATCGACTGTCGAATTAAATTGCTAGCTACAGGCAAATAATTATTTAAATCTAGCTTGACAATACAATACAAAAATGTTGAGAATTTCTATTAAACCTTTCTACTCATAAAATTGATTTTAAAACCATTTCTCAATATATTATTGTTGCTAATGTTGAACGTTTATTTGAGTTTTTATAGTATTAAAACTACAAGAAATATTATTGTGGGTAAAGTAAAAATTCCATTTTGGTAATCTTTTCGCATCCTTATATACAAAATGTGGCCCAAATTGTTTTCTGCTACATCTCATTTTCAATTCGTCTTGTATGAAAGCACTTTTCCTTGCGTCACGATTCGCAGTGCCAATCGGTCTTGTGTAAAATATTCGGTGACAGTCCGAAATTTACCCAAGGGAACAAACGGAGGTAGATCTCTCTCATCCATATGCCAATTTGTCAGGGTGTAGTTGAAATTCTTAAAGATATTTTGAATTACATATTATAGAGAAAAAAATGTGTTTCCTCACCATTTTTAGGGGACAAGCTAGGTTTCCATTTACGTGCTTTTTAAAACTTTTCACGTAAATTTTAAACAATCCATTTCGGTGAGAAGTTTTTAGGAATTGACATGCATCCAAACGACCATCGTATAGCTTTATTTTCTTTTGGGTGGTTGTCTTCCAAAAATCCATAGTTGTGTGCATTAATATATCATTCACATCAGAGTTCACTATCATCTCACCGTTAACGTAACTCCGATTGTTCAGATTAACGATTCGGAAATCTATATGCTGTATCAAATCGCGCACCTTATATTTAACTGAAAACTCATCCATCTTTATGCGAAAATTACGCTCCTCACACTTTAAGCCAATGTGGGAGCTAAACCACATTAGCCAAAACAAAGTAGACGTGGCCAACGCTTTCATTTTAATGACAGTCGACTGCGATTAGAAGAGCTGAGGGCATATACATATATGGAATTATAAAACCAGTCAATTGAGAACTCGTTGCTTGATAATAAAATAAGTGGTATAGTTATAGTAGAATGAAAAAATACACAATTTTGTGGATCCGAACAGGGCTATTTTAATTGATATTGTTTTATTGTGCTTTGAATATAATAAATATGTGATGATATTTATTAACATTTTTTACGTATCAAGTGGGTTGAGTAAAATATTGTTGTGTGTAACTTATGTATTTGAAATGTATTGATATGCTGGCTATTTCTATTATTATTTTATGTGATTGGGCATTGGATTCTAATGTACCATTTCTAATAATTTTACGAAATTCCACCCTGTGTAACAACACGTATTATCAATCGTTGTTGAATAAAGTATTCGGTGACCGTGCGGAATTTGCCAACAGGAGCAAACGGTGGTAGCTCCTCTTCATCCAAATACCAATCATTCATTTTATACGTAAAGTTCTGGAAAAAATATTAGTTTAACGAAAATTGGTATTGTAATTGAGTAAAACACACCGCTTTAAAGGGACACGACAAAATAACGTTGGAGTGTTTTTTAAAGCTCTTCACATAGAAGTAGAACAGTTTATTTTTGTTAAAAGTTTGGAGCAGGCGACACGCATCCAATCGAACATCGTACAACTTCAATTTAGTTTGGGAGTTTGGTTTCCAAAACTCCATTAGTGCACGAACATTCAAATCTGCAATTTCCCTTTTGAGTATCATCTCGGCGTTGACGAAGCTTCGATTATTCGATTGAAACAAATTGCAATCCATCTTTTCGAAAACGTCTGGCACCTTATACTTGATGGCAAACTCATCAAAGGAAATTCGCAACCGATTTTGACATTTCGCCAAGTCGATAAGGAAGGATAATGCAAATATTAAATACAACGTTTTCATGGCTATTGTTTTACTAAAATGCCTTTTGGTAATTCTACTCTACGTCCAAAAACATATGTACTTTTTGTTTAATTAAAGATGGTTTCCAATGAGATTATTTTAATAATGATGAAAAACGCTAGGCAATTTCGATTCGTAGTCATTATTGCTGATGATTGAATATTGGTGTATTATTGCGTTTATTGAAGCGTTGAAATTAAACACCAATCGAACAGATATGAGTTATTATTTTACAAAAAAGTAAAGAAATATAATGGAATTATTTGGACAATCATTATGGGCTTTCCAGAAATTTGAATAAAATATTCAAATGCTCCCAAAATCATTCAAATTTCAATTTGTCTACAGATTGGTTAATGAGACTGTAATCATCAGAGTAATCGAAGCGAATCCCCAATATGTTCATTATTTTCGGGCCTTGCTCTTAATTTTTATTTATTTTATAATAAAAGAGCATATACAAATATTTTAGTTTTAACGCTTGGTGCGCAACTTCCCCTCAATTTGCATGTGAGCTAATAGTTTTGACTTGTTCTTAAAGGACATTTTCATGCGATAAGTGCACTCCGGCAGTAGATCAGGTAGCATTGCTTCGTCGATGTACGCCCTATGCAGAGAGTAGTTAAAATTCTGAAAATAATAAAGGATTCAACTAAAAAACCTTTTGGCCTAGGTCTGGAAGGTATTCAAAATGTGAAGAATGTTCAATAAGTTCCGAAAAGCGTGCTACAATTTTGATATATATTTTTACGCGTAGTGTAAATTAATACTCCATTTATAGATTACTTTCAACTCACCGGCCTAAGTGGGCACTTTGGTTTGGTATTCAGGAACTCCGCATAGTTATTGTACAGCAGTCTGATAAACTTATTCTTATACCCATTGTTGAGGACCGAGCAGAAGTTGAGCTGAACATTATATAGGCGCAGTTCCGGTCGGTGGGGACGCGTGATGTCCATTGATGAAGTCAATATTAGATCATTCACCAATCGATTAATCACCATATGGCCGGATAGATAGCTGCGATTACCATCCTGTTCGACGACCGCACTTTGGGATAGGAACAGGTCTCGATCGTCGACAGTGAAGGTGAACCGATCCACGAACACCACATGGGCACACAAAGACCAGTTGACTAGCGAGCTGAAAACGAGAAGACGCAGCTTGTGGAAAGACATTGGGAAGACGGTTGACTTGGCCACTGGATTACTGACTGGCTACGAAACCACTACTAATGGGGGATTCCATTGTGCTCGTAATTATGAGCTGACGGAGCAAAGCCTAATGGCTTTTTAAATGGTGTCGTCTGGTCTAAATTGCCGCAATCTCTCAATATGTCAACAATACGTATTCATATACACATAAATAATTTTTTCCATGTTACTTTTTTCTTCGTTCTTTTCGGGTCTTTGAGTCGCTTTCAGATGTGCAAAAAAAAGAGTGTATATGCTTGCACTCAAAAGTAAAATGAAAATGTTTCACGTATGGAAAGATTGAGTTGAGAAGGCGGCTAAGTACACAAAAAGAGTAAAAAAGAAAGGCATCAAAAAGAAGGGGGAAAAAGAAAGCGAAACCCTATTTTCTCGACCATAATGGTACTCATTATTAATGAGTATATGAGGTATGAAACTTTTATGTGGTAGCGAAATGCATACATTAAGTTTAACTAATAAGACACTAATATCGACAAGTCCTCTTAAAAATAATTTGTTCAGAATTAACAGTATGTGCTTAAATGTCTTAAAGTTATGAGATCATATAAAACATTTAAATAGCTCCTAATCTACATAATAAGACTACTTTTTAATGTACGTTTTTTATGATTATGCTTTTAATTAGTCTTTAAATTATTTTAGTTTATACAACATTGATACTTGCTGTAATTTGAAAACTTGTAAAAACTTATTTTCCTTGAAAGCCTTTTGAAGCCGATTTGTTAGTTGGCTACTGAGTACTTGCATGTCGAATACCCTTCATAACTCGCCGTGTTCGGGGCCCAAAACGCGACCCCAAGGATGTCAACAGAAATGTTAATAACACCAGCGCTGCTGCCGCCGACTCAGTCGCCTCGCCAACCAACTGCAGCTGGAAGGATTCAAGGATGGGGCTGGCGACGAGGATGCAGATGGGCTGGATTGCCTGGCTACCAGCCCAACATCCCAACATCCCAACAGCCCGAGCAAAAACAGTGGCCTTAAAACAGAAAAGCAAAGCGCACCGGAGTGGAGTAGAGTGGTGCACGGTAAAGTGAGGCAACTCTGCTCGTAAAGACGAGCCGGGCATCGCAAGCGGCCCAGTCGAGTGTAGTTCAAACATCACACCTACCGTCTGGGATCTGGAGAGTCTCGACTCGTCTGCGGATGGTGCTGCGGTCCATATTATGTAAACATTTGCCGGGCTTAAATCTTTATTATTATTTTATTTTTTTCTCTGCTTTACCTCCTGTGCATCCCAGCTGGTTGCCACTCCTCGTGGAGTGCGTGTGGGTCTCTGCTATCTTTTTCCACGGCATTGCGGATTCCTAACTCAGAGATCTCAATCGAAAATGTGTGCAACCTTGCATGAAGTACAATTGCAACATCAGTTCGGTAACTCGTACACATAGATCCTATTTTCGCTTTTTGCTAGTTTCCTTTCTTGTTCGTTTTTGATCAGAATGAAAAAAAAAGAAACAGAATAGTTTTTAATGAAAAGACAGTATTTTCTAGCATATAATTTGTTTATTCAATTATCTGCAGCACTTGAGTGGAAATTAGAAATCAATATCCTTTGCTTTCCCGGCACGTGCTGAGCTGCGGAACGCGATGACCTATTCTTTTCGTGGCGAAGAAAACAAACAAATTTTCCCATTTTCATATACCAATTTCCCTAAGTGACCAATTTGTTCGAGTGCAATTAACACAACCCATCCGTGCTCATGGGCTACGGGAAAATTCTTGTAATGGCCAGCATGTGCTTTGTAAAAAAAGCTGAAGAGATTGTTGCGTTGCATTTTAAATATCAAGGTGTTATATTATGCAAATTTGTGCAATTTTCATTCATGCCTACATATATGTAGTTCTGCTAAAACCACAGCGCCAGACCATAATTAGCCTTTGTGAGCGTGTGAGGCTCATTTCATATGCAAATTGCAGTCGATTGGTTTCGCATTACATAATTAATAATTCAATGAGAATGCTTGTCAATCACACGCAGTACTACGCCCACCAAGAAACCATCACAAAGGATGGCACATTTGTAATCATTGCAAGAATTGTAAGAAAAAATGTAACGCTTTAAACTAGAAATTCACTGTAAATTATCATTTTAAGGCGAACTTTAATCTTGACGCACTGCTAAATTCGAAAAATGTGGCAAAGTAAATATAACATTTATGCCGAAATTTGCTTACATTGGATCTCCAGCTTGTGTGTGTACACAGATAGGCAAAATGGCCTCTGGTCTACGTATACATAACATATATAGATACCAATATCTGCGTCACTGGCGATGCTTTGGGCCTATTTGTGCAATCAATAAATTTTACAGTCGAATGCACAGGTGGTGGCATCAACAATTTACGCATCTATGCGGCGCCTGCAGTTGGCACCAACTGGGAGTGGCAGCCCAGAAGATGAAATTCCGTTTGTCGAAGTCAAATTTATTAACATTTTCCGATCATTTTCCGCTCGTTAAACTGTTTCTCGTTCCAAAGACAATAAACAAAGTTGATTGTTTAAATATTCCCCTTGATTGCACTATTCTGTGTGCAGTCGTACTCGAGCGATTTAAATATTTATTAGCTAACTACACCGAAAACAAGCATTACAGATGTTGATAAAATAGCTTTGCAGCTGAGTATTCGGTGCCTTACCGAAAATACACCGTCTCTGCAGACACTCGTTAAAAATCACTTAAAATTCCATCATCATAAATTTGTCAAAAAATTTACTCACTTGCTGTGAGCGGAGCTTCAACGTGTCGACATTGATGCTGTCTTTTGTCTACTATCGCACTTCCTTCCTCTTTTGGGATTAGTTTTCCGACCACCACAATGGTCTTAAAATTCCATGCACAACTGTCTCTTCAAATTCCGCGGAAATTATTGTATCAAATTGCCTTGCCAAGGTCGTACGAATGTTAAGCTTTCAGTGGTTTTTATACGTATTGAATACTTTAAAATTCTGTTTTGGTAATGGAAATTTAAAAAAATGTGGTAGCACACTTATTTTAGACTTTATTTAAAATTTTTTGTTATTTGTTAAATTTTTTTTTCCTGTTTCCATCAATGTGAATTCGTGTTTTGGAAAATTTTATACATACGTGGAGTTCCTGCGGTGAAAACTTTTTGAAGACAAATAACTTAACTTTAAGACCGTTCGCCGTCTAAGTTTTCTTATGACAACCTTTAGTTTATTACTTTTGGTTTATGTTTTCGTCAGTTGGCCGAATGTTTTATTTTAGCGGCCGTCGCAACAGCAGGGGGCAACTTCCATGGGGCACACACACACATATACTGGATACCCCGAATTTAACAGCTTTTTGTGGCAAGGTCTTTTTGGCCATGGCTCCATGGTGACTTCAATTTTTGGCAACAGAACGCAGCTCAAAGTTGCTGCAACAGCAAAAAGCCAAGAAGAACCGAACGAAAAACTCACCCAAGGCAAAAAGGCAATAACAAAATATTATTATCAGAATCATTCATCATGTGGCTGCAGGCAATAAATTTTGGGGCTAGCTTCAAAATGCAACAACAACCATGTTAGGCCCAAGTAGAAGAATAACTACAACAATTGTAGCAGTTGTAGGTAGCTAGGTAGGAAGTAGCTACATAGATATTCGGGCTTTTGGCTAACTGTTAATAAATCGCAGTGCCAGGCAACACAGTTAGCACAGTTAACTGTGGCCCAACAGCAGCTGCTGATGTGGCGCCACCTTCCCGCACCCAAAGTACCACCCCATCCCACGGCCCGCCCATCTGAACCCCACCGCAGACGCATAAAAGTTCGGGGGCTTTACCCCGAAACGAACTTTAACTTTAAGC